GGACGAGACATGTTAAGACTTTATTGTCATTGTACAAACATACAACAAAATTCAGGTGCACTTAAGGACCTGGCTCATATAGGAAAATGAATAATAAATAGTAATAAAAAATTAATAAATTCCTCCATTCCACTCACATTCTAAACAATTATAGATATGTTTCATACACTCATTTCCAACGTATGCAGTTAAAATGAGATAAAAAAAAAAAAAGTGTGCACGTATATTTGCACATTAAATAAGTTATTGCGCTCAAGAAAAACAACATAGCGTTAGTTCAGTCAGGACATGATGTCAAGCTCAGCTCACATCCCAGCTACATCAGCTGATCTCAAATAGCCCAATCAACTAATGGAGCAGCTGGTTGATTGAAGGGAGTCAGCTGATAGATCACATGCTTCATTTCTATGTAACCAATTGGTGAATCTCATTCAGGGTGCCCTGTTTAAGCTGCTCTGGCCTGCCTACTGTTGCTTCCACCTCCTCCCCAGCTCCTTCTTTTCATGCTGTGTCTGACTTATCAGTGTTATTTCTGTTTGTCATTGATGCTGCTCTGTTCTGTTTCCAGGGGTCTTTGCTGCTGCTCTCCCTGTCTTAGGCTTTCCATGTAGGCGCATGGAAGGGCAGAGAGGTGTGCTCTCTCTGCCTTGGGCATTCGGCATAGGCCCTAGGAAAAGCAGGGAGGCCCCAGAACAGAGCCATACTGCCAAATAAGATGCTGCAAATGGAAATAAAGTTTTCTTTGACTAATGTAATAATATTTTTTACTCTTCAGTTAGGCTGGGAAAAATATTTTAAAAGTCTTGACTAGCAAATCTCGTAATGGGCCAACCTCCCAATGATTAATTTTTTTCTTAAATAACAAACATAATGGATGTCTTAGGTAAGATCTAATGAAGTAGCCATTTTGTTTTTCAAAGATGCTAATGGTTCTCTTGATAGTTCTCAAAATACCCATTTTTAAACCATAATTCTTATTTAGTTTTGATTTAGAGGGCTGCGTAGTAACATGTTGTGGTTGGACAAAATTATTTAATTAATTTATCGTAAAATAGAAAGCTTGAACAGCATTCTCGCCTTTTTTGGAAACCAGGAAGTGAGACAGGAGTCCTTGTGATATAGCTGACCCCTTTAATTCCTGATGAAATTAAGTTTTTGTAGAGATCTGACGAAGTTCACAAAAATCTCGGACACATGTTTAAAGTACCAACGTTTTTATGAAACATATATTTTAAAACAAAGATAATTAAAACAGTAAATTTTTACTCCAATGATATAGATTTTGAAGGCTTTTAGCACATTTTTAATTGTTAAAAGTTGTGAAGTCTTGTCTGTGATGAGGCTGTTTTCTGGCACAGGGCAAGTTTAGAAGTTAAAAGAATGAAAGCAGATCAAAATATTTTAAAAATGATATTTATTTCATGTAAATAAATGATGTAAAAGTAATGTTTCATCCCAAAAAAGAAATAGATGTGTTGATAAGTTGTAATTTTAAGGGGTTTTGTCCCAGTTCTCAAAAATGGCTGTTTGGCTGGTTTGGTCTTTGTATCTGTCACTATATTTTGTATATCTTAGTCTATGTTTGATCATAAAGAAAGTAGTTGAGATGACATGTACATGAGCTGAATGTCTCATCCGGAGGAGAGGGGATGGTGTATGCTGGATGTTGGATGGCACCTAGGCGAGACGGCTGCTAAGCAGTACATGACTGTTTTGAAACCAACAACAGCAGTTGTTTTTTAACGACTGCTCGGGACATGTCCAGCGGTGTTTGTAGCAACAAAAGCAGATATTTTAAGCCCAGACATGTTGTTTTCCAAACCCTGACCAAATGTTTTTGTGCCTGAACCGAACCACAGCACTGTCACAACATAAAATTGAAAAATGAAATGTATGTATCCACAACATATGAAACATACAAATGTAACATATCCGTGGTTTGTGCAGTGCCAACGTTTATTCTGGCGCTTGTTGTTGTTTAGTTTCAGTGTTTGGCTGGCCAACTCTGTTTTTTTGTGCAATCCCTTTTCCCTGTCTCTCTTTGTACTAATATGTACAACACACACACACACACACACACACAAAGCAATCACCAATTCGCAGTGTGTGTTTTCCTGTGCTGTGGTCACAGCAGGCGTTGACCATGAAGCAGAGTTCACCACTAAATCATCCAGACACTGCCGCCCTGCTCATTAATCTCTTTCACACACACATACACAAACTACACATGGCGTGCACCCACACGCGACACACATGTGTGTATCAGGAGCTCAGACAGTACCTACATCTCCCCGCACACACAAACATGACTCAGTTTGCGTCCTGTGCCCGTGGTGGTTTGATTGTCAGTGACAGTTTCCATCAGAGCTGGTGCTCATTTCACTCTGTCGTTACAGGAAGTGGATTTTCCTCCAAAACTGGAAACATTTGGCCACAGAGCGGCTCTTATATCCAGCAAATTATTGAGGATGAAAGCTCTGTCATTACCATGTGAATTGCAGTTTCGATTTACATTTTGGATCGGGCGGGGGATTGAAGGAGATCTTGCTGTCGTCCACTCGTGTCTCAGCACATGGACGTTTCTTTATAAAGCTCCAATAGAGATGAGGCAGAGAGGAAAGACAGACAGATGGATAGAAGTGTTGTATGTGTGGTGTAGGGGAGGAGAAATCCCAAAAAAGATGAACTGTATTGTGGCTGTATTTGTTCCTTATCTCTGCCCTGATTGGCTTGTGAAATGTGTGTCAGGTCGGCGGCGTTGGGGGAGTTATTGTATGAATCATCATGGTGATCAAAGCCTGATTCAGGAGCAGGATTTAACTTTTATTAACCGTGTTATTCCGGAGCTGTAGTATTCACCCAGCAGCCATGATCAATTATCTGACGCCCACCTCTCCCTCTGTCTCTCCTCTCCTCCCTCCTTCTCGTCCTCCCTTGCTTCCTCCCTCCTCTCTGCTGGTTCTCATTTAGTAATTTATCGTAACTCCAAAACACTGATTGCATCAGTCTGTAGTTTCACGCCTGCCTCTGCGACCTGTGGTGCTGAAATGTGAAAATATGTTTCTCTAATGTCTCACGCCTCTCCTGCTTTCTTCCTCATGTTTCTCCTCGTCCTCCTCCACTCCTCCTCTTTATGTTTTAATTTCTCTCTTTTTTTATTGACCACCTCTCGTGTCATCTCACTCTCCTGATCTCATTTGTTTATGATCTTCCCTTCTTTCCTTCCCTCAACCTTCGTTGTCTCTCCTCCCACATTTTGCTTTTATCTTTTACATCTCACATTCTCCAATTTTCCTTTTTTGTCTCTCCACTTCTTTCATCTCTTCTCTCCTTGTTTTCCCCCTTACTTCCTCTCCTCTTTCATCTCCTTTCCTCTCCTTGTTTTATGCCCTCTTCTCTCCTTGTGTCCTCTCTTCTCCTTGTTTCCTCTCGTCTCCTTGTCTGTCTTTGTTTTCTCTCCTCTTCTTGCCTCTCCTCGTTTGCTCTTCTTTTTCATCTCCTCTCCTTCCTCCCTCTCCCCCCCCTTTTGTTTTATCTCTTCTCCTTTCCTTGTTTCCTCTGATCTTCTTGCCTCGTCTCCTCTCTTCACCTTGTTTCCTCTTGTCTCTTTGTCTCTCCTTGTTTTCTCTCCTCCCCTCTCCTCTCCTTGCTTGCTCTCCTTTTTCATCTCCTCTCATCTCATTGTTTCATGCCCTCTCCTCTCCTTGTTTTTTCTCCTCTTTCATCTCCTCCCTTCGTCTCATCTTCTTTTCCCCATTCCCTCTCTGTCCTTGTTTTCTCTCTCCTCTCCTTGTTTCCTCCTCTCTACTTGTCTCTTCTTTTTTTCCCTCTCCTCCCCTTGTCTCTCCTTGTTTGCTTTCCTTGCTCATCTCCTCTCCTCTCATCTCATTGTTTAATGTCTTCTTTTCTCCTTGTTTACTCTCCTCTCCTGCTTTTCTCCCCTTGCTTCTCCTCTTCTTGTTTCCTGCACTCTTTCATCTCCTCTTCTTTCCACTCCTTGGTTTCTCTCCTCCCCTCATCTCTCCTTGTTTCATTTCCTCTTCACACCTTGATTTCTCAGCGTGTTTCATCTTTTCTCCTTGTTTTCTCTCCTTCTCTCCTTGTCTCCTCTCCATCTTTCCTCTCCTCCTTCCCACCTTGTTTTCCCTCCTCTTCTCTCCTCTCTTCTCCTTTTTTCTTCTCATTTTCTCACTTTGTCTCCTCTCCTCTCCTTGTTTCCTCCTGTCCTTTTTTCTCTCCTTCCCTTGTCTCTCCTTGTTTGCGTTCCTCTCTCATCTCTTCTCCCCTCCTTCTTTAATGCCCTCTTCTCTCCTTGTTTTCTCTCCTTGTTTTCCCTCCTCTTCTCTCCTTGTTTCATCTCCTCTTCTCTCCTTGTTTTTACACCTTGTTTCCTCTCCTCCCCTCTAACTAACCAGCTCCACTGGGGCCCATGAGACACCTAATGAGAACCTGAATGAGTCCTCCAGAGGCCTCTAATGATGGACTCCTTGTGTGCGTGTGAGGGTCTCTGTGCGTGTGTGTGTGTGTGTGTGTGTGTGTGTGTGTGTGTGTGTGTGTGTGTGTGTGTTAGCAGAAATGCCCACAAACTCCCACAAATAGTGACTGTGTCTGTTTTCCGTTCTGCTGTGTGTTTGCCTTTATAGGAATTTGGCAGTTTAGTGCACGGTTGATGTGTCTGAGTGTGTGTGTGTGTGTGTGTGTGTGTGTGTGTGTGTGCCTCTTGTGGGCCCCTTCCTGCGCCTCATGACCTCTGTTACAGTGCCGTGATTGGTAGCTTTCCCTCAACTCCTAACACATTTTTTCACTTTGGATCAGAGTTCAGTTCCCATCGTAAAGTTTGTCAGAAGAAACGCAGGATTTTTAAGACCCTGCAGACACGAAGAGCTTTTTTTTGTATTCTGCTACAACCCATTAAGTAGTTTATCCAAACATTTGGACTCACTTACGCCTGTCAGTTATCACCTGCCTACATTCTGATGTGTTTCCATTTTTCTCCTCAGGCCTTTGGGAACGCTAAGACTGCCCACAACAACAACTCCAGCCGCTTCGGCAAGTTCATTCAGGTCAACTACCAGGAGAGTGGCACCGTCAGAGGGTGAGACACACACATATAAACCCCACATACACTCACTGGCTACTTTATTAGGTACACCTTGCTGGAACTGAGTTGGACCCCTTTTGCCTTCAGAACTCAATCAATCAATCAATCAATCAATTTTATTTATAAAGCCCAATATCACAAATCACAATTTGCCTCACAGGGCTTTACAGCATACGACATCCCTCTGTCCTTAAGACCCTCGCAGCGGATAAGGAAAAACCCCTTTAACGGGGAAAAAAAACGGTAGAAACCTCAGGAAGAGCAACTGAGGAGGGATCCCTCTTCCAGGACGGACAGACGTGCAATAGATGTCGTACAGAACAGATCAGCATAATAAATTAACAGTAATCCATATGACACAATGAGACAGAGAGAGAGAGAGAGAGAGAGAGAGAGAT